ATATCGTCCATGCTCCACCTCAGCAGAGCTGCATCTGCAGTGCAGTTCCTGCTCTCAGCTTCTGAGAGCAGAGGGTGAAAGGACTGTGGCTGGCCACGGTGGATGTAGCTGATGTCTTGGAATTTACCAAAGCGCAGAGCAGACAGGAAGGGTGAAAGGGACACAAAGCTAAAGGTTTAGGTGTGGAGAGGAGGGGGTAGTGAGGAGAGGGGCATGAGGGGAATGAGGGGCTACACAACCTAAGGAAAGGACACCAAAGCTAGAAGCAGAAGGAGACGGAAGATGGGTGATGGCATCAAAATGGACAGGGAAGAAAGGCAGTAAAGGGTAGGCAGTTGGTGAGGATGGAAAAATTAGCAGGTTAGCCAGGACAGAAGGCATATGAGATGATCTTGCTACAGCAGGAACTTAGTGGGGAGGTATGCTAGATACATAAATCAAGTGGTGATGGATATTCAATAATCAGGAGGAAGAGCAGCAAGGAAACTGGGACCCAGAAGCTGAAGCTGGGGAAGGAAGAAAGGAACAGAGAGCAGGGAGCAATGGGGACAAGAGCAGAAATGTTTTTGAGCACTTGGACACACATGTCTGCATGCTGGAGCTGACATTTATTGCTACCTGAACATTTCTCTATCACTAGGCAAATAGCTGTGAAATATGGAGGCAAAGTATGTTGTGTTTTGCCTGTGGCAGGCCAGCTCACACAGGAGAGAGCTGCTTTTTGGTGTTACTGTTGAATCCATTGCTGAAAATTGGAGGGCTCTGTGCCACAGGTCCCAGCTTACTGACAGCACTTGGACTGGCAGTCTGGATTGTGGATTTGTTGTTGTTCTTGTTGCAGTTTTGAGGTCTATAAAGGTGCAAGGAATGATGCTAAAAGTAAAACTGGAAGCTATTTAATATGAAGTTAAGCTGTCCAAAATTGCAGAACTGCGGTAGCTAATGCAACCGCAAATACGTGGTTATGCATATGACAATAATAAGCTGTTTAAAAATAAGCTTGTGCATATGACCATGTAGATGGTAAGGTATTAAAGATTTTACAGATTGTAAAGAGTGGTACAACTTGTGTTTCATAGCATGTAAATATTTGTAGAAGAAGAATAAAAATAATAAACTCTTCATGTAAATGTATATATTTTTCTTGCTAGAAAAATATATACATTTACAAAGCATGCTTTGTTTGGGCTTCTATTGAATGTCTGTGTGCTAGCAACAGTAGTGATCTAACAGTAGTATCAAAGATGTGTTTTATAAAATGAGATAGTTAAGATGTACTGCCTAAAGGATACATAACAAATAAAATATGTTTTCTGAAGGTGTAGAGCAGATCAAGGGTGCAGAGGGTATTGGCAATGAGTGTCTGACTTTAATGATAAAGTAGGATTTTTACATGGTGGCTTTTAAGTGATCGGTAAAGAATTTGTAGGTATGTTGTTAGGGAAGTGTGTGAAGAGTTGTTCTATAATGAAAAGTAACTCTGGGATGTAATAATTTAAAGACTTGGAAAAAAAAATCACTTGTGAATTAAAAAAGCAGCGTTATCAAGCTGTTTCACTAACATGCTTCAAATAACCAAGGTGTACTGCCAAAGTGAGGGTGAAAACTGCCTGAAGTGCAGGTTTGGATGTAAAGCTCAGTGAGAGATGACTATTTCCTTCAGAGTCTAAAACTAACCTCTGAAGTGATAGGTGAGATTTTGTTTTGTTATTGGTTTTTTGTTGTTGTTGTTCATCTGTTTAAAGGCGTTGTAAGCTAAATGGTAGAATCATCTACTTTTTCTCAGATAAAAATTAAAAATTATAGAATCACAGAATGGTTTGGATTGGAAGGGATCTTCAAGGATCATCTAGTTCCACCCCCCCTGCCATGGGCAGGGACACTTCCCGCTAGACCAGGTCGCTCAAAGCCCCATCCAGCCTTTGACCGCTCCCGGGGGGGGGCCAGCCACAATGTCTCTGGGCAACCTCTTCCAGTGTCTCATCACCCTGACAGTGAAGAATTTCTTCCTTATATCTAATCTAAATCTCCCCTCTTTCCGTTTGAAACCGTTACCCCATGTCCTATCACTATGCTCCCTGATACAGAGTCCCTCCCCATCTTTCCTGTAGGCCCCCTTGAACTACTGGAAGGTCACTGTAAGGTCTCCCTGGAGCCTTCTCTTCTCCAGGCTGAACAACCCCAACTCTCTCAGCCTGTCCTCATGGGGGAGGTGCTCCAGCCCCCTGGTCATCTTCACGACCCTCCTGTGGACCTGCTCAAGCAAGTCCATGTCCTTATGCTGGGGTCCCCACAGCTGGACACAGCACTGCAGGTGGGGTCTCACCAGAGCAGAGTAGAGGGGGAGAATCACCTCCCTTGACCTGCTGGCCACGCTGCTTTTGATGCAGCCTAGGACGTGATTGGCTTTCTGGGCTACAAGCACAGCCCTCTTGATTATTTCAGATCAAGCTTTTACATACTACTGTTACTGCAAGAGAGCATTAGAAAGAGTTGTCATTCTCATTTCTAATGACACTATTGCATTTTTTAATACACTGTGTCAATGCCCAAAGGGATGAAGTACCACCAAGGTTCAGAGCTCACAGTTATATTTGGTTTAAAACTACTGCTAGCACAGAAACCCTTCAGACTTCAGTTCCTGCTCTATCAGTCTCACATTTACCCTTCTGTTGGGTCTATTCTAGCCTGGGTCATTCTCCTGTGTCCTTCCTGGTATCACAGGCACCCTTCATCTGTTGTAAATAAAATTGTGCTCTGAATTTCACTGCCAAATATTCTTCCTCTTGTAATTCCTGCCTTGTCCTTTTCCTTTGTCACAGACAACTGCCAGTGAAGTTGGTAGATTTTTGCTACCAACTTGCCTTCTACAGCTGTAATGTATTAAGTCAAACTGTGTTTTCCTTAGCTTTCCATAAATTCATATATACTCTCTGTGGTGTTATGCTCTGCTGCCTTTTCTCCCAAACCCTACCCACGGTTCCCCTCCCTGGCCCAATGGGCTCATGGCTTCCAGACTGCTGTATTTCATGGGTTTATTCTTGATGTACACAGTATATAAGTTTGTCCCAAGTGAAATGAAAGATTTCAACCTTGTATCTGCTGTGGGTACTATTTGCTCGATTTGTGTGGCTGTTTTCGCTGGTGCTCTGTTACCCTTTACCACCCTTCTGCCTCTGTGTCTGTACAGTACCCGTTATCACAGTATCGCTCAACTACTTTGCAGATTCTTGAGCGTGGTTGACTGTTCTGTCCTTAACTAAAACTAAGTGCCTCTTTTGTGCAGTATTATCTCTTGTGTCATCATTAGCTGTAGTCCTGTGTATTTGTTATGGAGATGGGGGGGAGGAGGAGGATTGTGAATGAAATGCATTGGGGTCCGTTCTTGGAAGATGACTGGGCAAAGTAAAAAACAGCTGGAGTACACAACCAATTCTGAGGTGCCATTCATGAAAAAGGAGAAGTCCAAATAAATGCATTATTATGTGGTTTTGGTTTTCTATTATTAGGCTGTATTGTTTTCAAATGGATATAAGTTAATTTGACTCATAGTACAGGTTTTGTATTTGCTTCATTAAACTACTGCACATTAAAATTTGTGCATGCAGAAGCAACCATTCATACATTTTTCTCTGTTTGAGAGATTACACATTTCTTTCTGTTCATATTCTTCCAGGTGACTTGGATTATTACTGGCTGGATCCTGCCACGTGGCACAGCAGGGAGACGTCTCCTATTAGTTCGGTAAGAAATAGGAAAAAAGAGGTTCATAAGTATGAATTAAAGTGTTTGCTGATTATTTCAGTTCAGCACAGATATTTTGTGGTAAAAAAAATATTCTATAAAAATTATATGAAAATTTGGTTTAGTGGATCATGGAAATTGAAATCAAGGAAATTTTCATCAAAATGTATGCTAGTAAAATTGCCTGAATTTTAACTTTAATTCTTTCATAGACATGATACTAGATTTCACTACACACCACAAAAGCAGCTGTTGAGTCTGATGCTGCTCTGGGAGAGAAGAGTGACTTTTTCTGTTGACTTGAAGTGGGAAAGGATCATTAAGATTTTTATTGTATTGTGAACCCGTATGGTAGAACTGTATAACATGTATATTATCCTACAGAACAGAATTTATGAATGTGCTTTTCGAGGCCATGGAATTTAAAAGTAAATTTTTAGTTTTATTACTTAAGGTTTTAAATGTTTAATTGTATTGAACTTTGAACTGTATTATAATTCTACCTGCAGACTTAGTGCTAATAATTTTTTGCAGTGGGCATAAATATTTAGTGAAGCCAGAGTCCAACAGATATGATAATACAAAGCTCAGGTGCACTATGTAACATGTCTGAAGGATGTTTGTGTCTACTGTGGCATAATGATCCAGAAATTTTATTGGTTTATAAATGTGTATCTAAATACAGGAAGATGGTTGCATTTCTTTAATCCCACTGTTTGGGTTTTTAACAGCATCCCGTAACGTGGCAGCCTTCTAAAGAGGGAGATCGCTTAATTGGGCGTGTTATTCTTAACAAGAGAACAACTATGCCAAAAGAATCAGGTGCATTACTGGGGCTAAAAGTAAGTATTACATGGTTTGTGTTGTAAATGAATGAAACTTCCACTGACCTTAGACCTAGAGATCTACCACATTAAATCAGAGGACTCTCCAATTATATCATCATTTGACAAAAATATATTCCTCATTTTAGTAAGTTTTGAAATTTATACAGGTAAATTATGAATACAAATGTATTTAATCCTTCTATGCAATCTTCCACTCATCCATGGCAAAATGAGCTGAATCATTTTGATTAAAAGTGTATGTTTATTCAGGTTCCTGTCTGCAGGACATACACTGCATATTGCAATGCGCTAGTGGAGTCCTACCTTTTCTAGCTCTACTGTTTGTATTTCAGTCAAGTAATTCATTTCATAGTCCACATACATAAATGTAACCTGGATGCAAATGTTTACAAGGTCAGTGTTTAAAATCCACGCAGCCATTTGGAAACAGAAGTTTTGTAGAATGAAACTAAACATTTATTTGCAAAAAAAACTCTTAAAGCATAGTAAAGTATTATTTTTTTAGTAATTATAAATAATAATTGAATGCAATTTCAGTTAATCCAGTGCCCCAAAATTAAGCCATTGTCCAGTTGATATAAATCCCTGAATTAGTCATTTGTAGTCGACTTGTAGGTTTGTGTCCCTAAATTGCCAGAACCCTTAAAAGAGAGAGCACGCTACTTCTGAAGCTGGTGGGGAGTACAGTGTGCCAATTCAAGAATTTTTCTCTCCATGTTTATCTTTAACTGTATGGAGCTCCAAAGATGATTGGAGAGAATTTAATTTGTGTGTCTTCCTCTCCCCACTGAGAACACAAACAATGCAAAAATTGAAACATTACCATCCACTTAGGACTGAATCTACTTCAAAGGGCATTGACACTGAACCACTCCTTGCATACAGTTGTCTGATAGTTCAGTCCCTCACATGTAACGGAGATGTGGGTTGTTGGTTCTGCTCGTCATGGTGGGAATTAAATCGGGAAAGAACTTTGTGAACTTGATTATGGTGTATCTTGGGTAAGAGCCATTTATCCACTGTGAAGTGAGATAGTGTGCCGTGGGAATATAGAAGATGAGAATAGCTTCTGTATTCTAGAGAACAGACTCTACTAAATGTCTAGTAGTCTGTAGCACAAGGCTGATTTTTGCTGGCAGCAAGCAATTTCTTTTAATATGTGAGAAAAAAGATTTGTCCTAGTAGGAAATGTAGATTGGAGAGCTTGTCTTCAGTTTTTCATGTTTCAATTTTGAATTATATAAGCTAAGACCCCCCACTGATAAGTTTAATACATTAGCTTGTGACAACTTTTTTAACGGGCAGGTGTCTGGATCTTCTTGAGTATATATCTATATTAAAGCTCCTACTAGTTATTGTGATTGCAACATGGGAAAATGTCTAGTGAACCAGCGTTCCACTGTTCCATTTTATTATAAAACTCTTCCTAGAATATTCCTGACCAAAAAAAAACCTGACTGGAGAGAGCAAGATAGCTAAAGAGAATAGCAAGTCAGCCAGACTACGTTTTTATGGTTTATATTTTATTAAAAATCTAATCTCTTGAGGACACCTTTTTTTCTCTGATTTTCCCGATCTCTGTATCATGTGTTGTCTTCAAAAATAACTCTCTTCAGTTCTCTTTAATAGAAAGCCAGAAGTTGCTGTTTTGTCCTGCATTGTGCTTGGGTGGAAGGGCCTGGGTTTTAGCAGTAGCAATGTTCTTGTGAACTGTTTGCCCATGTTTTATGGTAGTGTATTTGCTAAGTTTTTAGTTGTTGTACCAATTCCATTTTGGGAATTTCATACATTTGATTTGATGTGCACTTGCAATTTAAACTTAAGCACATGACAGACATGTATTTGCAAAATGTACGTTTTCTTGATTATTTTTTTAAGAAAAGTTCTTTCTGCAACAACTTTAGTCACTTAACAAACTGTAAGATTGAGTCAAACACATTAAAAGGAATATCAGTTTTATTCATTCTGTGTCAGCTTTGGTTCTTTTCAAGTACATCTGGCCTTTTTGTATCTTTAACTTTGTCTTTAAGCCTCTGTAAAGCCCAAATTAAGAATAGATTTGCTTATGCATATTTTAGGTTTAATTTTAAAAATAACATGAAAACTGATCTGTGTATATGTTTATGCTTGATGTGATGGCTTGGACACTTACAAATTTACAATTAACCAGGTTGTTGGAGGGAAAATGACAGAATTAGGACGACTCGGTGCCTTCATTACCAAAGTGAAGAAAGGTAGCTTGGCTGATGTGGTGGGGCATCTCAGAGCAGGTAAATCAGTCCATTGCATATAAAATATATTGTCTTTTAATTATGGCTTTTTGTAATGCAGCTGTTAATTTGTATTAACATTGGTCATGTGATGTGCTAATATTTTTTTAAATACAGGACAATACTGTAATGTTGTTATGGAATGCCACAATTGCCTACATTTCTGATTTATTATTAACTCCAATTGCTTGGACATATGAGCAAAATGGAAGACACTCCTAATCACTGGTTCAGAAGCTGCTTGTTACACTCTATAGAAGCAATGCAAATGTTTTTTAAACCTGTTTCATTGTGGCAAACAAAACTCACTACAGTTACTTGCATTATAATGTGACACGAAGGAGGATGCACTGTATGCACAGTGGACTTTGTTAGTGCGTCTTTCAATGTGAATTGTTACAAATAGAAATCAAAAACAATCCAAGAAAATGGTCTTAAAATATGTCATTTACATAAGATATATATATTACACTTACAAGTAAGTGGCTGTGCTGTTGGCACTTTTCAAGCTTCTAAATGAAGCGAGAACTATGCACAGCAGTTCATTTTCAAAGTTACTTCTTAGAGGTTTATATTTTTACCATGGCTCTAAGCAACTACTTTCCAAGTGTTGTCTTAGCAAACCAAAGTTTATGCAATGCCTTCTTAGAAATCCAGAAGCTCCAATGACAACTTGCATGAATTTAGGATAATCCTATGAAGCAAATAGTAAAAAAGAAGTAGAAAAGATGATGAGTCTCTAAAAATATCCTACTTTCTTTTGGCTCTTTTTTACCAGGTCAATATACATGGGGTTGGTAACAACTATTATTATAGTTTATAGATTTTAACAGCCAATTATAATTACAGAAAATAAGTATCTTTTCACTAATCTTGAACTATTTGGGCTGAAATATTACATTTCTATTGTCTGCTCTAGATTGTTTTTAAGTCAAAGCTATTTTTAATTTCTAAAACTATTTTTAGAGCCAAAATAATTTCACTGAAAAAATACATTGTTTTGTACATGTTTTTGTTGAATGAAAGTCTATTCATCCTATAGTATGTGACTAAAACACACAAAAAAGCCATGCATGAGTCCTTGCAGTTAGGAAAACACACTTTTTCATCTTTATGAAAAACCTCCAAAATTTGACTAGTTGATAAATCTTTGAGCTATTGTACAAACCTCATAAATTTTAACAAAGGCAGATATGAAGTCTTGCATCAGGAACATGATAACCACTGCAACAGTAAGCAGTAGGAGCCAATCAGCTAGAAAACAGCTTGGCAGAAAAGCATCTGGAGGTACTGGAAGACAGTAAGTTGAATATGGGTCAGCAAAGTGCCCTTGCAGCAAATGCCAATCATGTACAGGGCTGTATTAGCAGGTTGTGAGAGGTAGTTGTTGCCCTCTATTCAGTGCTTATAAGGGCCTATCTGGAGTCCTCTGTTCGGTTTGGGCTCCTCTAATACAAGAGAGATACTGACAAACTGGGCTAAAATTGGGCAGAGGGACAGAAGGTTGATTAAGGCTCTGGAGCATATGGTGTACAAGAAGCTGAGAGAGTGGGGTGTGTTCTGACTGCCAAAGAAAAGACTACGGGAGGGTCTAATTCTTGGTTTTACCTGGCTAATGGGAGACTGTAGAGAACCTAGTGCCAGACTGTTGTCAGAGGTACACATTGGTCACTCAAGAAGCGAGGTGCACAAGCTGGAGTGAGAGAGATCCTGTTTGTGAAAAATCTCTTTTTCTTGTATCTAGAGAGGATAGTTAAGGCTTGGAACAGGAGGCCCAGAGGAGATGATGTGTATCCTTGCTTTGAGATACCCAGATCTCATCTGTCCTTTGATCTTGGCCCTACTTTGAGCAGGGGTTGGAACTAGCTGACTCCCAGAGGTATCTCCCAATCCGAATTACTGTTTTAGAAATCAATTATTTATTTTTACCTTCGGTTAGGATATTTTTCCCTGGATTATTAACAAGCACAAGTTTGATCGTTTGGCTTGGATCTCCTCAGAAAGGAGCAAAGCCAGCAGCTGAAGGGTTGTTCCTGACTGAATCTGATAAACATAAAATCATTGTCAATTAAGTTATTTGTGGCATCAGATAGTGGTTGTGAAGTTTTGACTGCTGCATATGATGGGATGTAAGAGTGTAAACTTACTCTATGGTTCCTGCAGTTTAATTGTATATACTGAACTTTTTATAGAAACTATACTTCAAGATTTTCACCTTTTTATAATAGGGCCAAAATACAATGTAATGTACATACTACTTAAATTCCAGAAATGACAAGCTGAAAAAAGAAAGTTATCTAAATAACTTTCACATCATGTTTTCCTTTCTGTCCCCTGTAACATCCTCAGCAGATAATGACTCACTCCTTGCTTTTATTTTTGGTTTGTTTGACACAGACAGTGAAGACTGTCCTTTTTGTAGAGAAATTGAAATGCACAGTATATAAATTGTAATAAAATGTGATGTTTGTAAAGGCTTAATAGCATGTATTTGTATTTTTCATTTTTGAAGATTAACTTGTTTTCAAAGCTTATTACTGCTAGTTAATAAATGATCTTTTAAAAAGACTCTTTTATTTCATAGCACAATACCAGATCCTGTATTTTTGGAAATGCTTAGTATGTTTGCAAAAGTGGTTTCTTTAGTATGTTTTGTGTGTACAAATTGTAGCTGTGTTCTGAGAAAGGAGCATTGATAGTGTCTCAAAAACCTTTTTCTGGCTTTAGCACAGTTTTTTAATTGATTTTGGGCAATGTTACTTGGTTATATAGATGTGCATATCATGTTCATATTCATAAATGTTTTGCACTTCTTTATAAAAGATTATGAAAATGAGGTAAACTTCTCTTTTAAATTCAAGGGGATGAAGTTCTAGAATGGAATGGTAAACCCTTGCCTGGAGCTACAAATGAAGAAGTTTACAACATTATTTTAGAATCAAAATCAGAACCTCAAGTTGAAATTATTGTTTCAAGACCTATTGGGTAAGGCTAAACCCTTGCTTAAGCACAATTATTACTTCTGCTAATGGGACTTTTAAAGGGAACTTTGTGAGTTCATTTTTTCTCTTAGTAATGGAATATGATTCACTTTCTATTATTGACATTCTGTATATTCCATTTTCTTTGTTGCCATTTACAATCTTGGATCTTTGCAGTGATATATACAAGTATAAATGTTTTCTGTACAGTCAATGTACTAACAAGGTTTTGGCCAAGTGGCAAAGGAAAATTGGTGAATCAAGGGGACTGGTGCATGAGAAAAATCTAGTTTTTAACTTCTAGCTTCACTATATCAGAATAACTTACATGAGTATTCATGAGTAGAAGGAAGCATCAGCAAACATTGAGCATTGCAGGATTTTAATAGATCAATCCTAGTAGGATTTAAAACAGGCCTTCTTTAAGTAGCTGAAAAAAGGAAAATGAAAACTTGTAATAGAAAAGACTGTGTTTAGCCTTAAATGATAGTCATTAAAATCAAAAGCTGAAACAAAAAGTTTCTTCAAAAATCAGCATTAACGTGTTATGTTTATAATCTTAGTTTTTATTTATTGGAAGTCCAGTTTTGGGGTTTTGTGATAACATTTGTTATATTATTGATTTCCCAAATAAGCCTTACAAAGATCATAAAAACTGTTCAAATTGATAAGATTAGTGGGGTTGGCCCTGCATTTGTCACAATTGTTTTAGTGATATTCTATATTTCTTCCCTGAACACGACTCTGTTGGGACTGTTTGAGCTAAGTCGTACAGGGTTGAATATGAATCGTATATTTTAAATTCATATTTATATTGTAGAACAGAGTCACATGATTAACTATAAGAAAATGACTCTTGGCTAGTTTAAAAAAAATATTAAAAGCATTTAAATCTCTCTGTAGTTTGTCACTTCCCAGATTTCATGTGCACTCACTGTAAGTCCCTAAATGCCACTATCCTCTAGGTAGATGGTAAACTGTTTCCTTCTTATAAATGCGTGATTATTTCATTTTGAATCTACTAGTTTTCATCCTAATTGTAGTTTTTATCTGTCTCAAATATGATAAGTTTTCAGATTTAGAAACAGGAAAACACTGTTAAATTTCTTTCTGACTAAAGCATTCTTCTTTTACATTTATTTCACGTCAGCTTTGATTTTTGGTTTTGTCTATACTGTGCAAGTGCAGCTGTATTTTGCAAATGAGTCCTGCCTTTTTAATTGCAATTACTGTTAAAAGTACTTAAAATTAACATTCCTTGCTAATTCCAGTTATGAGTTTGACCTTCTAATGGAAAACGAAAGCTTGATGCAATAATAGTGGTGGTTAAAGGCTAAAATTACCATCCAGATGGAGACTGTGGGGGAGTAGAAACCTTATTTTACATTCTTTAGTTAGGTAAATTAGGAGACATTCCTGACTGAAAATTGCAAATTCAGTCCCACATCTTTGCAATTAAAAATAAAATGCCATAAGGAGATTTTTGGATGTCTAGTTTTTATGTTTAAATCAGCAGAAAAGAAATATGTTGATACTGGACCTGACTTGAACTCCACATCTCAATTGAAGAAAACCTGAAAATTGATGTAAAAGGAAAGGGCTAGATTATATTTTAAATTGGAGATTTAGATACGTTTATTGCTATCAGTATATTTGCAAATGTTGTGTGTCCTTAAACTTTTAAGATAACTTAATTATTAAGCCACCGGAATTATTTTAGTTTGTGAATTTGATAAATCTAGTAGCTTCAAAAAGCGAAGTACAAGGTGACCACGTTCCAGTGTATTATTCCTGAATAAAAATCGAGAGGAAATAGCACAACTGTTGAACTGAGGCATAGAACATGAAGTGCATTCCAACACAAAGAATGTTGCTGAATCTGAGCAGTGAATTTTACACTAAAAAAGTGCACCCAGAAATAGTACCAAGAAAATGTAAAGTTCTGGTTTGGATGACCCATGTATATTTTTTCCAGACATAGGCAAAAATAGAGCACATCAGATTGTGCTTTTATTTTGAGATAAATGGAGTCTTGGCATGGAGGTTTTTACATACCATAACAACACTATTCTTGTAGAGTTGTGTTGTGATTGATCTTTTTTTTGTTTTGCTTTGTTTTATCTCAGTGTTGGTTGTTTTTTTTTTGAGAAGAGCAAATAAACATCCTAAACTAACTAGAGCATATAACTTGAAATTTAAAGATATTTCTTTTTTCCAGCACTCGCGAGTCTAAGTTATTTTGTATCACGTTGGGATTTATCCGTCTGTCCTCTTAAAAGAACAGAAAGTATCAGACATTGTACAATGAAGGAAATCCTGATATTAGATAACAAAGAAGGATATACTGCACAGGATTTTCTTTGTTTGGTTCGGGTTTGGCCTTTTTTTAAATAATTATAATTATATAAACTGTGTTACATAATGGGAAATAGTTTGTTTGCATTAACAGATTACTTCC